TTAGATGATCTCTAAGGTCCCTTCCAACCTAGGCCGTACTATGATTCTATGATTTTTTTAACGGGGTCTTTCATAAGGGACAATATTATTTTTACCCCCTCACCACACAATTCTGCAGAATCCCGTACACTACTACAAAGGGAATGAGGACTTTGAAGACAATGTGGAACCAGTCATCATTCCCCCTAGATTTAAAGGTAATTGTAGAATATTTAGATTACTGAGACAGTGGAGGGAGTATTTCAGCTCTTTGGATATTTGTCATTTGTATCCTGATCACGTAGCAGGTGTCTTCAATGTCACATTCTTTAAAACCCATATTCTGCCTTTCAAGGAGAGTTCTGAACAACAGGTGATATGGAACTGCACTTTAGCAAGAGTATATTCCAGGTTGGACAGCTACTGTTCAAGTCCTGCTTATCTCTTGGACAGCATTTTCAGGGAACACAAGTCCTCACTCCCACCATTTTTAGGGATTTTTGAGATCACAGAGCTTTTTAGGCTAAGGCGAACCATTTTTGCTAGAGAGAAGCCCCTAGCAAGAGCAGACACTTTATATTGTGTCTGCGTTTTTAGCACTGGTGCAAGACCAGCCTGAAGAGGATTAATGATGTCTGGACTGAGAATTTTTTATTTAATGACATACTTTCTTATAGGAGAAATAAGAAACTAGTGAAGGACTGAAAGACCCAAGTAATCCAGCCTAAATATCTGGAGCTTTCTGACCTGCTAGTCCCCTGGAGAGCAGAGCCAGACTTTTGTTCTTACAGTACCTGTGACTATCCTCTGTAGAAAGTCACCACATCTCTTCCGCTATTCAGAATTTCTGTCTCACTCTGGCAAATGTGGCTCTTTCAAGAGTCATGCTCTTTTTTGTTGTTTCTAGGGTGTGGGACCCAGCTGCTCTGTGGTGGGCAATGGTGGACAGTGAGACCAGGCACCTTTTGGAACAAAAGCTTGCCCATGCTTCTGCATTTTCTTCCAAAAGAAGCCACAATACGTGAGACAATGACACAAACCCAACTTATGTCCTAGTTTAGGCTCAGGACATGACTAAGCTATACATCCGTGTGTGAAAACTGCCATGTATGTCTCTCCATAGCCATCAGCTCTGCCAGTTGTGGTGTCAGAGGTCTGCTCATGGAGTCTGTGTGAGAAAATTGTTATTTGCTATCCTCCATTTTATCCAGCAAGCTCTCCTGCAAGTTTTCCAGACAGACTCTCTCTCTTTGCCTTTCCCTCCTTGGTTTAAAAGCAGGGAGGCCTGAATCAAAATGCTGATACCAAGGAGCGTTTGCAGAATCATAGGGTTTGTCGAGCCCATGAGGGAAATTCATGTGTTTTCATCATCTGCTGATGGATGAAAGTGTCATTTTCAGGGAAAAGATCCAAGCTGGCAATGGTGAGAGCATCACACAGAACAGTGCTTTCATGTTGAGCAGCTCTAGAGCTGTTATGATCAAATCAGGCCTCTATGTTCTCCCATACCTGACATAATTTGTGAATAATGAGTAGGGCCAGGTTCCTAATGATCTCCAGGTGTGATTTAACCTGGATTAAACCTTCCACATATTGTATTTAGGCCTTTCAAGGTCATTTCAGTTCTAACAAGTACTGGTTTGCACATGCTCAGTTGTGTTCTTGTCCTTTAATGCAGTAAATGACAGATGGTAGCAAAATATTCATTTTATAATGAAACCTGCTGAAGGAGTCTGCTTAGGGCCTCAGAAAATAAAATTTGCCAAATAAAGGATGGTCTCCAGGAGAAAAAGGATATACTGCAATGTAGTATATATTAAATAATTTTCCTCAGGCATCTGGTGATCGGTAGCTTTTTCTCATGTCAAAGAGGTGGCTTAACTGTTTCTTTCCAATTAGTTATTGCCTCGTTCACCTTTGTACTCTTAAAAGTCTTGTTTTTGTGGGTTACCATAAGTAGTGCTTCTAAAAATGCACAAATTAACTGCATGAGGATTTGCTGTAGAAGCTTCATAGGTACCAGATTTGTGTCTGCAGTATATAGTGAGTTACTTAAGGTTTTCACTTACACTATAATTAGCCTGGTTTCTGGGTGAATTTCACACTCGATTTTTAGACACAATTACACCCATTTCTCTTAAAACACTAGTAATTCCTAGCCCCATTGTTACTGAATCCTTTATGTGATCATGCACACCCTGTATTTTCTCATGGCCTCTGCAAGCTTATTTTGGCAGCTGAATACATCAGAGTTCTCTAATTTATCATCTTCTTGGAAGCAGGTAGTTTTGGTTGGATGGCAAAAACCTCTCCTTTTTAAACCTCTCTGAACCTGCAACTGTCTTCTAAAGCCAGTCGGTTGTGGAGTAGCTATCTTTGCCACTCTTAGTTTCCTCAGGCTCCCCCGTAACCTATTTTTCACTCTTTTATCCTCTGTACCAGCACACAGTTAAGGAAGACTTGATGTGACTTCCTTTAGCATCCATTTACACTGTCCTATAAATCATACAAAATGTTCTGCACAGGCTTAAATCTAGTCATTAAATGAGAACCCATCTGTTCGTTGCTCCCAATGGGAATATAGTTTCTTTCCCTGCATCACTGCTTGACAAAACTTCTAACCCCATCTGAAACTGCTAGCGTTTTGTGTTTGGGGCCTGTTATATCAAATACACATCTCTTTGCTCTCTCCTTCCTCTCTCAGGAATTGTTATTTTTAGACTGCTTTTCTACCTCTAGTGGAGTCAAAAATTACATCTTAACCTATGCAAGCTCCGGTGGCATATGCTGCTCTGCTCTTCTGGTGCGGTATCACAAAATTTGGCATCCAGCTCAGTTCTTCTGATCTGCAACCCCCTCGTCATCGCAGCCCTTATGGATAAATCAATGTGAACACTTCTTTTATTTCTGTTTCTTGCCTGGGTTTTCTTTCTTGGGTTTTCTTGGATGTCATAGCCAGCAGTAGATGCACATTTGCATTAGCCTTTGTCTTTATCAGGAGGAGAATCAAGAGTACTGGATGATTTAGAGCATACTCCTGCTGCTATCATGTGTCCTGTGCGTTACGACACTACAAGAGTGTTAATGTCAAGGTGATGTGGCTGCCAGAGCCCTCAGGCACATCATTATTTTAAGAAGAGATCACTAGTACTCTTGAACTGCAGAGTCCCTCCTACCTGTATGTGTCAATCTGTGCTAGAAGTTTCTCTTTGCAGGCAATCAGAAATCTAAAATAGGAACCTCTAAGGTCAAATTCGTTTCAGTCTAAAGTAAATAAGTACGTGACTAAAAAGTTATTTCATTACTGACCAAAAAGGCAGCAAAGGCTGACTAGCTTACATATAGGCAACTACACAGAGATGTCTGGCCAGGAGACTTGACTGGGTTGTCCACTACAACTGCGGCAAACCACAGGTCACTCAATGCTTCTCCTTCCTCCTTCACTGTGGGCTAAGGTCTGTCAGAGGCCCTTGTTGCCAGGGGCTAAGGATACATGTACAGGTGTAGATCACTCAAATACACACAGAGTTTCTTAGCTGACAGGTGGCAGCTTGTTCCTCTTCACAACACAAGGGAACATTTGAACCCATGATGCATGCCAGCCATCAGGTACTGCGTGTCGGGAGCCAACCTACAAAGAGCACAGAGTACCTCACTGGGGTTTTTTTTGGTTTGGGTTTGTTTTGGTGTTTTTTAATGACAAATGAAGAAGTGCTTGACTCTTTTTACCAGTCTCACAGATTGTGAAGCCTTTAATCATCTATAAAGAGGCGCATTTGATATATTTAGGAGATTCTGCCTTTTTTTAACATGGATTATTCACACCTTCAGAAATGCCCTACATCAACCCAAGCCCAATGTCTCTATTGCCAAAAATGTTTGCCAAGAATTTTTGAGCAAGGCAGCACCCCAAGTGCATGTTCTAGATGGGCCACATCATTACGCCAAATAGTGCAAATTTGCTTGCATTTTAAAGCTGCCCAGTCCCATGCAACCTCCAGCTGCTTACTGTGACTCCTCTGACTAGAACAAGAGCACCGTTCCTGTACCGTCCCACCTCACAACACCATACCTCCAGCCATGTCTCCAAGACGTTGCAGGGAACTGCTGAGCATTTTGCAGAGCAGATGCAGCAGCGTGAGTCACTGCCTCACCAAGGAAAAGAGTTACTGCGTATCGGTCGCTCCATGGAAACAGCCCGTGTATATGCTTGAGTATTGTGCAGTGCACTTTGAGGCCACTTAAATGCCTCTGAAATAGAGATAATTTGTTTACTTCACATATACTCAGGAGAAGAGCAATCTGTGTCACACAACTACCTGGGTACTTCTGATGGAGCATCTAACATGTGATAGCTTGGCTGGGATTTGTGTGGTTCAGGCTGCCTGGCTGCAGAAAAATGAGCTCAAAGCAGGAGTTTTCACTTGTTTGCCCTTAAGGCTGGCTCACTTTCGGTCCTCAAAATAAAGTAGCTTTGAAAACCACCTGTTAGCAATGGTCCCTGAAATGGGCTGACCCCCAAAATGTGCCTGGGAATTGTTTGGGACAGAGACTAACACAATGCCAGGCGTTGGTCAAAGAGGATAACAGGAAAGATGGTTATGCTCTCATAGCTTGAAACATCGCTAGTGGTGGCTGAATTTACTCTTATAGCTGGAGCTGAATGTTTCCTTCCATGTTCCCTAGAGGCAGTCTTTGTTTACTGCTTTAATAGCTAGAAAATGTGAGTTTTCTGACCATCCACACTTTATGGCACATCTTTTATCATGAAGAAGCACTACAAACAAAGTTATTATTTGCTCCACAAGCAAAATTTCTCTTCCTGGAAGTTCTTGACATAAAGGTACTTCAAAAAAAATCTTAATATTCTGCAAACAAATCAATTATTTATAATTGTCTTGTCTTTAGATGTGAATTAAAATAATGTTCTTTTTTATAGAGTTGAAAGGAAGCAGATGGGTTTAATTGAAGTAATTGAAATCTACATGACCACCTGTTTGGGTTTTTTTTAAACTTTATAGGAAATCAATGTATTGACAGTAGCATTGGTCAACCAAGACAGAGAAAAAAATTCAGAGAAACGAAGCCCGGGTCTAAAATCAGAGAAAGAGGCACTATTAATAGGTAAGATAACCCCAAAGAAGACTTTTGAGAACAAAATGCCTTTTAACAAGTTTTTGGTTTGCATATGGGTATACATGCATATTTGTGATAATAAAAGTTAAAAAAGAATTATTTTATTTTTTTAATTATTTTTCGTCTATATTCCTAATGGCTTTTAGTACAAGAAATCCTAAACTACAGTTGAACTTTTCCTTCCTGAAAAATTCTGCAGGTTTTAATGGAAGGATTTCAGGTATGAAACCAATTGCAGGATCTATATTTAGACTTGCAGTATGAATGTATGAAGATTTTATACACATCAAGATTTAGCAGGCTAGAATTGCATAACTTGTTATCTGATTATTAGACAAAATGATGAAGAAGAAGGGGATAAAAATAATATTAGCAAACTACCAAATAAAAAGACACGTATACTGGAGGCATGAAGCAAGTCAGATTTATGCTTCTGACATTAGGTGAGGGAATTAGCCATATGAATATTTATAAAGAATACCACAAGGGCTGTCATATCTTCTACCTAGAATAGAATCTTTAAAACAAATTCTTAAAAGAGTGTTTAAAAGCTAAAGCTTATAGGCAGTAGGTCAGCTAACCTAGAGTTTAGCCAGGCAGAAATGCTGGCTGTACCCAGCTCACCCTTGGAGGGAACATGCCCCTTTTATATCTGTGCGTGTTTTGCATTTGGTTTCAGTGGGGCAGGTTTTCATGAAGCCTGAAAGCCCATGGTCCAAAGGCTTCCCTATGGCATGGTTGCTATTCACAGCATTGCTGACCTGAAAGACCAGGTTTCATTTCTTTGATTTGGTCTTTTCACAAAATCAGCGGTGTCCTGGTAGGTGAAAGTTCTAAAAATACCTTAATTTGTTTAAATGCAGTTCATTTGCATCTGCTAAGTACCAAGAAAGTTGGTTCAAACAAGAAAAGTCATTTAAAAGTGAAAAATATACTTAAAAGCTTAAAGAGCTTAGTGCACAAACTTCCTGTGACTGATGAGATGTGGAACGATGGGATATGAAGAAATGTAAAGTTAATTTAATTTTGCATGTTGTAATAAAATTTGGAACTTTTAATTGCAATGGACAGTATTTTATCTGTTCAAAGATAACTTATGTGGGAAAGGTAGCAAAGATGGGATTTTAAGAACAAAAAAAACACACTTTTTTTTCTAGGTCACTCATTATTTGAGTGTAACAAGTGGTGGCAGTGTCCCAAAGTGGGTCCCATCCACCAGCTGTCCAGTGACACGCTCGGATAAGAAGTATAATCTCAGTCTAGATATTAGTGACCATTATACCCTCACAACTGGCTCGTTGATACAGTTAAAAGGCCAAAGATTGCTCAAAATCGATCTCATGTTATCTCTTCCTCCGAGGGATGTTCAGGTGTGGCAAGGGAAAAACGGACCTTGCCTCCATCTGTTCACTAAGTTTGTCCATATTTTACAAAACTCAGTGTTGTCTTAGAGGAAAAGAGGATAAAAGAAAACAAATTACTGAACAGTTATTACGGAACTTCAGTCAATAACCACAAAATATTTTCAAATGACTTTTTATTTACTTTATAGGAAAGAGCTAGCTTTGAACATCCTGAACTGAAAAGCCTTGGGAACACACATAATGAACGCAATGCCACTGGCAAAATGGAATTTGAATACAGATCAGATTTCCAGCCAACCCATCCAAGTGTGATGGCCTTGGCTTTTGCTTCAAGAGCTCTTGTGTGCGCGCGTATGGTCACGCACAGCACAAAGGCTGCAACTGCTGCTAGGACTCACCAAAGTATAAAATGAAATACACCCTCCTCCCTTTGCTGGATCAGAAGTTTGTAAATGCTCTTGGAAAAATGAGGGAGGAAAAAAGGTGTTCTTTGTAAAGCCAGTCTAAAATGAGTTAAATTTTGCTTATCATTTTCAAACATGGCCAGTATTTGGGGAAAAATGAAATCCAAGATTATCCTAATTCATTCAGCATCAAGAAAGCAGCATGGCCTGCAGTACACAAGATACAGTGACCCATTTTTGTCATTTGTAAGCATTTTTAATCCTGGTGTTTATGCTTTAAATATAAGGAACTTCCCCTAGGGTGGTTCTGCTAAGAATCCCATCCAAATAGAGTTGAAAATATTTGCTCTGATTCTTACAGTTCAACTCTCCCCAAACAGTAAGTAATACACATGCCATTTTGGATTTTCACTGTTTGTTTAGAAGAGGAGAAATTGGATAGTGTTTTTAATAGCAATCCTGATGCTCCAAATCTTATTTTCTCTGGTCATCATTATTATACTGTCACTTGATTTTCACTGCAGAAAAAATCTCTAGACTTGGATCCTGCCTCCTCCTAAGCTGCCTTCATTCCCATACCTTTTACAATGATCCTGTAAATAACAATGAAGATGGACAGAACTGACTGTTTTCTAAGAGAAAGTAAATATGTCATAAATGATTTGTTTTCTTTAGCAGTTGTTAGGGGTAATATGGATTAAAGAGTTTTCATAACCAGCCTCAGCGTAATTACTAGAAAAATTCGAGGGAGTGAGGTTTCTGACACAATTATATGAAACGTTTTCACAACAGACCATCCACTGAAGGAGAAAAAAGCAATAATTTTACCATTACAATATCCACAATTTTATATTGGTAAATCAAGCATAAAATTGGTAGTTGAAATGCTTCCAGCAAGTCTTTGTTTAGAAATTTCTTTATTCATCAGTATATTATCTTGGTCACTTACTTGCTAACTGCTGTCGTTCCTGAAGATGAGCTATTGTGTTTACTGTGTTATTATGACTGTATTAAAAATGTGCCATTTTGTTATGCTTATTGGGTTGTGTAAGAAAAATAAGAATCATAATTCATACTGAAAAACCTGCAAGAACAGACTATTCAGAATTATTTTGCTTATTTTAATGATGTATTGTCTGAAATAATTTCAATACTTCGTGTACTTTTTTTTTTAATACAGGTATCATATCCACATTTCTTCACGTCCACCCTTTTGGAGCCAATATAGAATATCTTTGGTCTTACATGCAGCAGCTGGACTCTAGGGTAAAAAAATTTAATCAAAATCTGTTTTCTCGATAGAAATATTTTTTTATTCTTTACTGCAGGTTAAACTCTTCGTGCGTTTCCATTAGAAAGATAATGGGATATGGGGCTTGGGGGTTTGCAGTCTTTATTCATTTGAAATTACACTGCACGTGCTTGTGTTGAGATCTTTGCCTGTCACTGCTTATCTCTTCTTAGTGGCAAAGAAGAGCAGGCCTTTAAATGACAAAGACCAGCAACAGATTTTATGATGCATGATCCTGAAATGCAGCTGAGGAGAAGGAGGCGGATGTAGCCACGGCCATCAAATTGTGCAGAGTTTTAGGAGATTATTCCTCATTCTTGAAAAAGTTGCGAGTCATGGGTCACGCTGAACATGAACTTTTATTAACATGTGAATGGACCCTTCGTCTCCATGTGGAAAAGGAGAGTGTAAAGGAATTGGCTGATTCCATTGCTAAATTCAGAGAAGGTGTGGCCACCACAAAAGTGAGGCCAATGCACTACAGTGTGTAAAGTGGTTTTTAATGCATCAGATCATACAGTCCATAGTCAATCCATACTTGCAGGATAGTATTCTTTGACTTACTTTTAAATATCCACTGTAGGATGAGATGAAATCAAGCCCCAAAGACAGCCTATTCCTCTCCACTGAATATTAAGCAGGTCAAGGGCAAAAAGCTCAGCCACCTTTGATCAGGTGAAGGCTACTCCAAGACCTAACGACAGCTCTGCAGGATCCTGGACTGCATATTCAGCAGGTGCAGGGGTCACTCTGTGGTTGGCCACAGCTCTGACCCACATCTGCCAGTACTTCCTCTGGACATGGGGATGGTGGTGCCTTGTCCAGATCTTCTTGCAGCGTGGAGTCAGGATGTAGCTATGGTGTACATCTGGACTTGGAATGTGAGTGGTCATTAGACACAACTCCTTTCATATTGGTAATATTTTGTTACTGAACACACCCCCTGTCCATGACACCCATAGCCAAGATCACCTTCCAGCTGCTTTGATGGCTGCTCTGGTGGGCTGCTTCATGCCTCTGTTGGATTCTTCCTCTGTTTCTATGAAAAAGTGTATAGCTAAAAGCAGGAGATCCTGTGCTAGAAGTCAACCAGAAAGAAGGCAGGTTGCACGGATGAGTGGGGAAGTGTGATGAAGTTCTCAGGCATTATATTCAGGCCATGGCAGCTCAAATTTGCTAGTGCTTTACAGTCCAGTGCTACTCACAGTGAGAAGGTAGTAAGAGATGAGAATGATAGAAAGAGGTGAGAAACTGGTGAATTTTAATTTTTATTTAAAAAAAAAAGAATTATCAGCACATTCAGAGCTTCACTTCTGCAAAAATTCCTCTTCTGCTTCTCTATTTCTTGCCTCTGTCACATGTACACCTTCCCAGTTCCTGCAGCACCCAGTCTGCCCAATCTCCTCAGTCATCTTTCAAGTTTTTCCTCAATGCCCAGTGTTTGGCTAAGTTTCAGCTTTTTTTTTTCTCATGACTGACCCCTCCAGCTCTGTATCTCTTGAGTGACAACAGCAATCATTTAAAATACCAGCTCCTTGGGCTCTAGCCCTGCTGCTCCTTGCTTCTGCCCACTGACCTCTTCAACTTTCTCTCCCGTTCACTGCTGTGGTCCCCTCTTGTGCACAACTCACGTGAGTAACGTGTTAGCTTCTGCGAGGTTGCCAGGATCAGACCTTTAACTTGCAGGCACAGCCTTCATGGTAGGAACATTGTCTTCATCTCTCCAAGGTGCCAAAGTGCCAGCCCCTGCAGCTACCACTGGACCTACCTGCTGCATAATAAACGCGAGCCACAAAATTTGACCTTGATGGTTTATTTTGGAAGTAACTGCTTGTAGCAACAAATTACTGTTTAATAGCGCAATCCAGAGATGCGATCTCAGAGATTAATTTCAATTACTTTCCGTGGTTAGCCTGTCATTCCTCACCTGAACAGGAATGATAAGGTCAGCACAACCGTGCGGGCTGAGGGCTCAGTATGGAGCCCAGATACATTATCCAAAGGTAACCACCTGTCTGTTACTGCCATGAGAGTATGTAAAAGATGGACCTGATTATTTTGGGGGCTTTACACGGCCTCCTACACTGATTTTCAGTGCCACCTTTAACAAATCATTTAATCTTTCTGCTGCACTAACTTCTTCAGGAAAATAAGAGGTGATAGATATTTGCTCACCTCCCTTGGGTGGAATGAGGTATAATTAGCATGATTCTGTAATGTTGTAAAAAACTTTTCACCATAGAATGTTCCTCCTACTATGAGTAAGCAGAAATATCACCATTGCCAGAGAAGTCTATCAAACCATGGAAATGATACTTGTAGGTAACAGGGAGCAGCCATAGTTTTCTTTACTGTTCCTTTCATGACCTTCACTTTAGAAGAAGTAGCAGTAGGATAAAATGGTTCGTTTTCCATTACTTCCCTACTGATTATACCAGAAAGATTGCTTTTGTGGTTTTGTGAAAGTGTTTTCAGCAATGAGAACATCTTTCCCATTAGGAAGGTGACCAGTCATTAAGGTTTCAAAACCATGAAAACATCCTGAGCAATGCCAAGTTGGGATCTTTACTGCTTGGTTATCTGGGGCTGCTGAACTGGGCCAGACTGGAAGAAGATGGCTCCATGCATAGTCAGCCCTAAGTAACAAAAGTGCACTGTTTAAAAATAAAGTCTCTATGCTAGTTTGTTTGCAAGAGAAAAAATGATGGAACTGGAAGAGGGATTCAAGAGCTCATGGGATGAGAAGGAAGAAGAAGGTCCTATTTGCTTCCTCCTCCCCACAAGTGTAGTTCTCAGATGGACTTTGTACCACACTGAGTGACAGCAGCCCCAACATAGCAGTTGTCATTCTTTTACAGTGGGAGGCCACTTCGCAAAAGCAGAATCATTTCTGCAAAGAATCTGTACTTGTATTGTACTCTGGAAATTCACGTCAGGCTAAGGTTAAAGAAATAATAATGGTTGGTTGGTTGGTTGGTTTCACCAGGTCTGGATTTCCCCCTGCCCCTCTTATTTCTGCTCTCCATATTTCCTCTTTCCATTCTACAGGGCCCCTCTCTCACTTTCATTTTACTTTTATTTCTTTCTCAGATCTCCGCAAATGAGATAGAAATGCTTTTGATGAGACTGCCGCGCATGTTTAAACAAGAATTCACTGGTGTAGGAGCAACACTGGAAAAGAGGTGGAAATTTTGTGCCTTTGAAGGAATTAAAACTGTCTGACTGTGACTAGTAATGAAGCTATGCAGAAGAAGAATTCCTAGAGCATGGCAGGGTTATGAAGTATTAAAGTAAGAAATTTGGGTTTGGGCACATAGTAGTATGTTTTCAAAGTTATCCAAGCCTAATTTTAGTTACATTTGTGACGTTCTCTTGTGAGTGGAAATGTAGTTGTGCACCAGTTCCTAAAATAAAATAAAATTTAAAAAAAAAATCTCAAAATGTGACAGATCTGTTTCCTATGAAAACTGAAGAAAGATACCACAGTCATAATGATTTCAAAATACTACATGTCCTACATCTAAGAAAAGCTCATTGAGCAAACAGTTAGGGAGAAAGATTGCCCAGTTACGGTCGCTAAACTACAGCGATGTATATGTAATATGTAGTAGAACTCATTAAGTTTTGTTATTGAAAGTTCTTTGTTCAGTAAGAAAATTGAGTAATTTTGCAGTGGGGAAAAGCATACCAAAAGAAAACTTGAAGATGTGTCTGAAGTTATTGTATTTTGTAAATTAAGTTATATGCTGTACCAGGGATTTTTGCCTTATTGAAAGAGGCCTGAAAATGTGATTGGAGTCCTCAAGAATGCTTTATCAAGAATATTATTTTTCTAATGTAACTATTCTCCATTACAAGTTCTTTTAACATGGATTGCATATCAATTTTCATAAACATGTAAATAAGGAGGAAACCAGTGTTACTGTATTGTATTTGGTATGTAACATTCAGGTTTATGCATCAAAATAAATATTCAGTTGCATTACTGTTACAAATTTTATAGCAGATATATTAATTTTTATCAATAAATATGGCTTCTACCATATTGTTTGTACAAGTTTTGCTTCTGATGTTTTTGAATTTTTATCAGTCTCCTGGCACTTACCATTCTCCTACCTGAACTATTAATTGCAGATAACTTGGTCAAATAAATTTGGAATCAAAAAAGAGCTTGTGATATTAGCTAAGATTATAACTAATTAAAATTATTGGTAGATGAAGGAGTAGCATGAACCTGTGTTTACCTGAACATATTTTAGTTGTTTTTTCAGACAAGCAGTCAGACTAAAAATGAACACCTTCAAATCTCTCATCTTCATTGTTGTGTTGGGTAGTCATATGTCCAATTAGTTACTCCTTGGCCTTTAGCCAGCCACTGAAGGAATAACTCACTTTTGGTGGCATCCCTTAAAAAGGGGAATTGATGCAAATTGTCAAACACAGAGTACTCCAGCTCTTACTTCTGTAAGAGCCAGCAAAAGCTGATGAAGTGTGTGTATCAACCAAGCCAGTAGAGTATGGAAGGAATCGCTCCTCCCAGAGCCCTACTTTAAAGAACTGCATCAGCACATCCTCGAGCATGGTGCTGGAAAAGAAACAGCAGCCTCCTCCAAGTCACACTTCTCTGTAGGCAGAGGAGACAGACAAAAGAGAGCTGACCCTATAAAGTGGGGCACCAACACGAGAAAATACGGCAAATTGCGACAGAGGCAGGGAGCATCCAGGTACATGTGTCAGAGTGATGTTTCACTCAGGTTCTTCAATAAACAGCAATTAGTGTCAAATGCAATTAGTGATGAAGGAGCTCTCCTACATGGCTGTCAGAGATTACTGCTTTAGGACCTGTTTCTCTTTTGGCATCTACCTGGAATATAGAAATATTAAACGAAATGTTAATTGGTTACAAAAAAGGAAATAAGAAAGAGACTTAGCAGAAAATCATGGGTTTAGCCAGTACACACATCTATTATGGTTGCTGCAGAACCTCTGTTAAGGTAAGTTGCTTGGGTTCACCTAGTAATTATATGCCAGTTAGGTTAACAAAAATTAACTAGTTTAATCCAAATAACAACTTTTTCTTCTCTTGTGAGCATACAGATTTATGAATAATTCAGGCAACAATGTGTTCGGTCTGACAGCTCTTATTTAAGTACTGTAACTTAAATGTGTATGGATGGCACTTAGGCTGGGGAAAAGAAATGTGAGAAAACTTTCACCTCAGCTTTCTTCATGCCATACTTATTTATTATATTCTGTCCTCTCTTTTCTAGTGTCCTCCTTTTTTTCCCCTTTAGCTTGTCTCCTCTCACACAAAATGATTTCAATCCCAGAGAGCCACAAAACATCTTAAAACTGACAAGAACTTGTAACCTAATCACCATATTTGCTCTCTGTTTGTTTTCTCTTCTTTTTTCTTTCCTGGGTCTTTCATGCCTGTCTAGACCATAAGTGCTTTAGGAGAGTAACTTTTTAGCCCTTGTGTATTACCAGCTAAAAGGGAACCTCCTTCACTGGCCTTTAGATATCACCATGAAAGATCTAAATTTTAAGTGGCGTGTAGTCATCCTGCAGTATTGTAACATATCAGCTGAGACCTTGAAACTCGGGGAGATCCTCATGAGGATCAGGTTGGGCCCCAGAACTGGCTTTAACATTGTGTGCTTAGTGGCTTTGTGAAAAAGTGAATTAAAATGCTCAGCTCCACCACTTAGCTGCTGAAATGTCCTTATGATGACCCTTGGGGAACCCAGCTGAGGGTCTTGAAGTGACAGGATGAACATCAAGGAAGCTACCTCTGCAAGACATCTAGCCCGGGCATCAGGGCCCATTTGTTTACCGAGAGGATGATCAAACAGTGGAACAGGCTTCCTAGAGAGGTGATCAATTCCCCAAGCTTGTTGATGTTTAAGAGACATTTGCACAATGTCCTTAACAACATGCTTTAACTTCATCAGCCCTAAATTGGTCAGGTAGTTGGACCAGATGATTGTTATGCGTCCCTACAACTGAACTATAGCCTACAGTCTGTAGCCTATTCTCTTGCAGATATGTTTCATTTACATGCGTATGATACGACAGTGATGTTCTGCAAGCCAGCATTAAATCTGGCAAAGGACCCTTTAGCCAGTGTGTCTGAGCAGTAGTGTCAGTCAGTCCAATGCCATGACAGCCCAGAAAGATGTAGTCCATGCGAAGCGTGTCACAGGAGGATGGCTGAAAAGCCCTGGAGCCATGGCTGTAGATGACAGTGCTCTTAGCACTGCTGGGTGCTGCAGCAAAGCAGCTTGTGAAAATGGCATGAGATGATGCCACTTAATTATGATAAAAGAAGAAGTCAACATTTTGGACAAGAAGGACAAGAAGACTACTCTATGTCTCTTTATCCTGATGGCTGCAACAGAGGCTTGGTCAGCTGCAGCAAAAGTCAGTGCGCTCTCCCTCAGAAAAAAGATGTTGAGGTGGCCAAGTGATGCTTCGTGAAATGAGGCAGTGCAAGACCTGAAACAAGTTTCTCCAGCTGTGTCAGGTTGAAGGAAGATACGCAGTTGTCAAAGCCACAAAGCCGTTAATGGTTAGAAGGATCCTCACAATGGTAGTGGGAAAGAAAACAAGAGAAAGACAGGCCAAAGAGAATCAGGTGAACCATGAGCTCAAGACATGAGACTGTGCAATAGCCTGGCATGAAATTATGGCAGAAAGTTATTAGCAGGGTCCCCTCTTTTCAAACAGGGACTAGTGGAGCAGGAAAGGATTTGGTTTCTAATTACCCAGACATGCTAAGGGTATTTTACAGGGAGTTGTAAGCTCAGTTGGCCTGAACTTCTCTTCTCCCAGGAGAGCTTTTTAGCTCATCCTCAGCTTTGAATTGTCTTGGAGTGGTGGCAGGGTTGACTTTTCATCAGTGTAGAGGGCCAGCCTCTTACTGCACTGTATTTTATTCCCACTTAGAAGCTAAGAGATATACACTGTGCAAAACCACTTGGACAAATGTGCATTTCACCCCGTACATTCAAGGGACATGAGTGTAACCTCTCTGTTAAACTGCATTTAATGCCCACAAGAGATAGCAATGTTTAGTGAAGACTGCATTATGCCAACTACTAAAAACAAAATTTCTAATATCTCCTCGTGGTATTGCACATAGTGGAGTCTAATTGCTTATTGAAGTGTGCATGTTTCAGGCAAAACTTGCATGTTCGCAACTGCCAGAGCATCACTTTCACTTAAGGAACAACTACACTGAGATTTAGAGAAAACCCTGTATCAAGCTATGCTACATTTAGCTACACATTGTGTACAGTAAATGCTGTGGAATCTAAAGCTAGAACCTAAGACCATTCTGGGTGGTTTGTTGAAGTCAAAATTCTGGTCTTGCAAGCCTTGTTTTATTTAAAATTGGAATGGCTTTGACAGTTAGTATGACTTTTATATTTTTCACTGATGTGAGTTGATTTGGGGAATGAGGTTTGGAAGAAGAAGAGGGAAAGGAATTGGTTGGTTTGGGAGATATATTCTTTTTATGCCTCCAGTACCAGTAGTAGCCAGGTCTGATATAGGACTGATGTCCACTTTGCCCACTTCACAAATGCATCTCAAAGTTCAGGATTTGAGGCTTTTATCGTCTTTTTTTTCCCGTAAAAGGGTTTAAGTTGTCCCTTGAGTTGTAACTCTGATTGTCCTGGTAAGATCTGCCTAACTTTTCCCTCAAAAAGAAACTAGAAACAGCAGCAAATTCCTTCTGGTTCTGTTCTGTAGTCATCCTCCTCTGGAAGCAACTACAGAGATGCTCAGGAAAAAGAAATCTTCCTACTTTTATTTGCCTCAGGTGCTTATAAAGCAGGACCTGATGTGGAGGAAACCACTCCTTCTTCCAAATTCTCTGAGAGCGCAGTCAGTGTGACTGCTTGGACTGCAATGGGTGACTATTTACTGAGTTAAAACTGAATGTTTCAAAAAACAAGTCAGTCAACTGAAAAAGCAGATGAATCAGGAAATTATGCTTACAAAGTGCAGATCCTCTGACTACATAAATTCATTACATTGAATACATGGAAATCCTAATTTGTAAACAAAATCAAATGCATACGCTCAGGAGTACCTTTGATTAAGTGTTTTGCTTCACACTGAGAAATAAACATTGTGCCTGTTCAGACTTAATGGGCTGACTCTAGTGTCGTACTCCCTTTTAACAGGGATATTTAGGGGGCAACAAGAGAAGGAAAATGTGTATTCCTTTAAGCCTAGCAGAGAGCACACCTGGAACCCCACCACAGCCATATTATAACCATTTGCTCAGAGTTCTGGCTGATAAGTACTTCTTGGCAATTTATGTACTTTTATATACATAACATTGAAGTCCAAAAAAAAAAAAAATCATCCACTTGGACTGCTCATATCTTAGCCATGTCACAGTTAATTCTGTAGTGAACCAAATAGCTTATGGTGGATTAAAATATATCTCCCATTAAAAATATCCAGTTGTATTCAAAGTTATCAAGTGATGGAAAAGATATTTTTTTTGCTGGATAGTTAGTTAGAAGAGATTTGCATTGACAAAAATTGTGTCCTTACTTCCCAGCTTGATTTTTTCTGGCTTCTTCTAGACAGTTTTGCTTTTCTCTGCAAGACTAAATAATCCTTTAGTGCCGCATATTTTCTCCCTGTGAAGATATTTATATATCGTTGTCTGTTTACTTCTCAATATTCTTTCTCATAAACCAAACAGCTTGAGCTTTTAAGAGTTTTGCTGTAAAGCATTTCTTTTCTCTTCCTCAAATCATTGCATCCTTTTTTTTTATTAATATTCTTTCCAATTTTACCACACCTGTTTTAAAATGTGCAGAGAAAAGCTGTTAAGTGAATTAGTCTGATCAACAGTGTATACAAACATGAAATCACGTCTCTGCTCTGATTCAGCTCTTTGCCTCCTTATTCCTATCTGACTATTAGCTAATCATAAATGTCAAAGTGTAGTCCAGGTAAATCTCTGTAAGTTAACTTTCTTCATTCTTCTCATGTAAGAGATTGCTCTGCATAGATGTGT